TCGATCAGAATAAAATGGAACGGTTTAAGGATCTGTTTTTTGTATACTAATTTAATGGATCTAGATTGTAAACAGGGTTTTATTTAGCTTTCTTTAGTCCATTATTCGGATTGAGTGTGTTCAATAAGAACGGCTCATCTCCTGCGAAGTTCATAAACATTTGAGACTATTTTTGATTACTAGCTATTTTCAGACATGCTAAATTTATTGAGACGATATGCCTACTGTTATAATAGGCGACAGTGGTAGATATCATTCAGGGTAATCTTAAGAATTTAAAAAACAACTTGCACTACTCTTTTGCTATAATAAGACTGAATCTAGTATAATAATAAGTGTGAATCGATAGAGAAAAGCTCTGAAAGAAGATTTACCTGCATGACATATACCCTGTCGTCTGTTATAGTGGTAGCCGTATCATCTCAATATTTTACTGGGTATAATAATATGAGGTTGTTTTTCTGCCAGTCTGTGAAATGCTCGAAGACTTCTTCAACGCTTTACCTATTTGAACATTCAAACTTACTTATAGCTCCAAGGTTCAAACAGGTTAAGAGGGTACATCTTTTCCCAAATAGCCTTTTCAAAGACGATGATGAAAAATCAATATTTGCTATTTATCTACGTACAAAACTTAGCATAACAATGTATTTAGAGATTAAAGTAAGCAGATAATACCGCCATGTTTTCCTTCAACCTTGGAGGCAATATTTATTGTTATGTTTATATCTGGATCCTTTGTTGTCCCAGCAGGGTAAATGCGCACTTGTGTTTACTGTGTTTCACGGTATTGAGTTATGAATTTATTATGGCTATGTTAAAAAGAAAAATTTGTGTCCCCTTCTTATAATATTTTCTCTTCACAAATCACTATTTTGGACGCTTCAATCAGTTTTTTATGGGTAACTAACCTGAATTTCATAAAACTACTTGTGTAATCAAAAAACGTAATCAGTGTCAATTTAAATTTCTTGAAATAATCAGATGTTGAAAATGTCGTATCAAGTTTTATTCAGCAGTTTTTGAGAATAACACCCACTTTGTGAATTTTTGATCTTAGATCTACATGTTTGGAATGTTGCAAGTAAACGCGTAATCAGAAATTGTGCCTTGCAGGCACAAATGCTATTCTTATAATCGAGAGAACTGCTACGTCATCAAAATAAAACTGTAACGTAATGTCAATGTAAAAGTATCCAATTAAATGGGGCTAAATATGTAATGTTAGCTTTGTTATTTCGAATGATACAGTGAATAAAATCATCAAGTTCAGTACAAAACCGAAACTAATAATAAAAAATCTGTGAATAATTAAGATCGATATCTGACACATTAGTTTAGTTCAGTTGGGTGATCCTAAGATTGTCGAATTTTGTCCAATGGTCTATTTTAACAAAATGTTTACTATGTCTGAATCGAATCATAATTTATTTGCTTACCTAATAACTTTGACGAGTGTACATAATTTTATCCGGGATGCATTCCATGGCACCAATATTCAGAATTTATGTTTTCCTATTGGTAATGTGCCTTGCTGCCTTTTTCTCATGAAGAGAAAAGATAAAGAAAGTGAATACGCACAATGTAGACCACATAACGGCTTCCTTGTAATTAAAACTTGCTGACAAAACTTGATTGATTGATTTAAAGCCGAATAATAATTACTTAAAGTGCAAGAAATAATGTACTCTAAACTCAAGTAATAAGATTTCAATTAATATTGTTTTGCGACTGATACAATCTATACTTATAATAAATCTGTAAAGGGGTCAATTCTGTCCTACATTAAATATATTCTCACGTGATAAGTGATCGATACTTACTTTAGTAAGTAATAGGATATTTACCCATTGGAGATGTACCCATAAAAATGAGACGATTATAAACAATTTTAATGCAGTACTTCGATTTTGTTCTATTGCTATAAGCTGTTTTTGTTGATAACACAGCCCGCCGGCGAAGCCACTGGCGGAAGCTAGTATAATAATATAGGTTTAAGAAAATGGTCTGAGATAACGTTCGAATTGGAAAATAACGTTTACTTTAAGAAAGTAATACGTATGGCACAGCTCAGTTGTCCGGTGACGTAGGTAATTGACATGCAACATGTCGCGTGTTGGTTTGATTCCCACACGAAACAACTTTTTGTGTGGTCTACAAATTGGTGGTTCCGGGTCTGGAAGTTATACGTTTGTAAATGCACAAAGGACACAGAAGAAAATCATAGTCAACGTCAAAGTCGAAGTGTTTGGGTCATATTATGGGACAAGTAGTAGGTGAAATTACTGATAATGTTTTTTTTACAAAGAAAATGTTTCATTGTTCTTGTAAAACTAACGACCATGGATAGTACTGACTCCACTGCTGGACTAACCATAATCCTCCTCAAGAAAAGATCTGCCACAATCTCCAAACTTTTTGGGAATCGTAGTTTAAAAGAAGGTTCGGTATGCCTTATACCTACGTTTTAGCTTTCACTAGAATTCATATGAAACGAAACGGGAATAACCCACTCTCAGGCCACAGCGCGCCGCGCGTGATTTCATTCTTGCCTCGCCATACAAATATACAAATCTTAGTTCACTTTTTGCATTTGAATCGGTAAAAACTATCGCATAAGGAATTCAGATTTATCAGAGAAAACTCTTACCTATGAGGCAAATTGGGAAATTGATTCTACTCTGCCATTAGCTTATGACTTATTTACTTTTTAGACACATACAAAATACATACATTAGCTATACGATTTGAAATATTTTAAGTATTTAAGTTAGGAAGAAAGAATAAATATTATCTTAAGATGACGCAACTAACGCATAATGAACGTCTAATTAAATAGGTACCTTAGATCCAATCTAAATAACATTTTAACGTATTTAATCAAAGTCAAACCGCTAGAGATAAAATAAATGAAAAATTTATCGACGAATTCATTATAAAAATGTGATGTTTAAAAAAAGATGGCCGTGCGATTTAAAAATAGAATATGAATGGTTTGTCCTTAATAGGTACTAGGTTTTAGTTCGTTTTTTGAAAATGGTCGCTGTCATTTTAAATTTAGAAGTAATGTGATTAAGGCGGAGCTTATGTCATTTCTTGGTCCTATCCGTTAAATAGTTTCCTTGGACAAACGAATTATATCAATTTTGTAGCTTTAGTCGGTTTTGGGCCTTATCCTTTTGTGATAAGCTTGAAAGTAACTTTGATGTTGGCCATCGTCTACAGGTGTTTATGACCTTATTCCGAGAGATAACACTTTCATAAGCTCATAAAAGTTTTGTTGGATTAGTTTCAAATTCTCTTATCTATATTATGCACACAACTGTAAACTATCTTCATAACGTACACAATATAGTTATATATAACGTAACATTCATAAAAACAATGTAGTGCTATCAAAAGTAACCGATTGCTATCGCAATAATCTTAATCAAATTAATAACTAAGTATGTCATACTAATGTTAACAAATTGTTTTAACTATATCAATTAGATTATTATGAATTTACCGACACTTGATTGGAAAGGTTAATTACCTACTTCGGTCCGACATTCTACCTTTTAAAGAGTTTGAAAATCAATGACGCCATTATTCCTAGAACTTGGGTAGGTAAGGCGCCGGCGCATGTTATGTTCACAGAAATACAACCGGATGACGTGTATAGGTATGTGATACATTATAAATAAAGGAAATTACCATTTCTGTCTGTCTGTTGCATGAGAAAGATGTGTGATATGGCAGTTCTTTCATAACTCGAAAGCATAGGTCTTTTTTAGAACTGAATAGGATTGAATTTTGAACCATATTTGGAAAGAAGCTATTAAAAATGTTGATCAGATAAATTATCAATTAACCCGTGGTATGCCGGAGCGCAGATATACGCGAGACACAATGTGTTTTCTATTGTGTCTCATATACCGGCAGACAAGAGGTTAAATCCAATATTCTATTCTCTATATGAAACTATACCCTTTAATATATAGGTACAACAGAATCAAAAAAAAGAACTAAGTCACTGACAAACTTCGTAAATACTTCTGTTGGTACAATCCACTCGGAAAATTGCCTTCTAGGTCAGAAAACGCGTTTAACGATTGTACTTATAACCTAGATACTGGTAGTATATTCATTACGTAACATGTCTGCCTAGAAATACAGTTTCCCATAAAAAATATAGCTCATAAATGTAAGGGAAACATATAAATGTATATCTTTATTCGCCGTATAGTTCCAGTGAACCTTCGAATGAATTAATTGGTAAAAGACAGGTCATTTGTCTGGAGGGCAAAGGATTTACTGGCACTGTTTCGGCCAATTCTATTTAACTTGATGTAGTATTTATTTTTCTTACTTAAGTATTACTAAATTATTTTGGAACGACCATAGAGAATAGGGCTGATTCTAACTTAAGAGTGTTGTTGAATAGATGTCTTTTTTCTTTTAGTAGTTTTTTATTAGTGTTATTTGTTACCTATAAAATTGTGATAAGATCGATATAGATAGAGAGATATAAGGAAATGGATCCAAAGTATGTACATATGTTTAAAAAGTACCAAAATTATTGCAATCTAATATTAAAAATTATCTGCAAACTTGGCTATAGCAAACACTGTTTACCATTTAGTTAATAAATACCAAGAGTGCATAGTTACTATACGGGCTATAGATTAAAAAGTCTATTAGTAGAACAGTATGTCACGGTAAAATGTAATCAATGGTCTATTGAAATAGAAATTTATCTGTCAAATTATTGTCTTTTACCAAGGTCTCTTCCAGCATGAAACAAATTTTATAATTACAAAACTAATATAGAGTTTAAAACGCTTTTACAATTCCTTACAAAACCATATTTCATATGCATAGGAATCAATCGTTGTTATTGTAAAAATATTTTATTTATCATTCTATTCTTAGCGATCAACATATACAGAAAAATACTCTTTTACCCTAAAGCAAAAACAAATGGCAGAATATTCAAATCAGTCTTTCCTCTTTTACAGATGGCGTAGCGTAATGGAGGGCGAGTGCTCTGAGGGCGCGAAGGGCTGGCTCCTAGTGAGGGTGCACGTCCCTGAGCTGAACGTGCAGAAGAGCCTTCAGTTCCCCAGGGACCAGCTCATTTGGGACGTCAAGCAGCAGTGTCTCGCCGCCTTGCCTAAGGTCAGTTCTCTTTACCCAGCTTAGTGTTTAAAATTAAACCTTACACACCTTCTTTTAGAGAAGGATATCCCTTGAACTTAATTTCTTAACTTACATGGATACTTTTTATATGTCAATCATTAGAACTAAGACGGATTTATTTAAGCTAAATTAAATTTAAAACTTCTTTTTATAGAGAACAATATCCTTTGACTGTAAAAAGATAATAAAATAAAAACAAACAGAATCCTTCTTCTTTTCTGATCTATACACCTTTTGAAAGTTCAGAACCATTAGCTTCTTAACAAATGAATATTCACGAGTGCTATTAATTGTTTAACAAAAGAAAAACTTTAAACTTCCTAGTTTTAGAGAAGAATAAATATCCTTGCTATGCCTTTTAAGAAACAAATATAATGTTCTGTGTCAAAGCTTTTTTCTTCAAATTCGATCAATTAAATTCATTCCTTTGTGAAACTATGCACTATTTAAAACTCTTTTGTTTTAAAAGCTTATTCTGCAAGCAATTCAGGTTTTTTGATTCTGCGATGAACTGCCTCTTAGTGAAATCAGATAGATATAAAGGATCTTCCATTTTCCTCTTAAAACTGATTACCTATATTCAACCTGTTCGTAAAATTCTTAGTAAAAACTTGAATCACATATTTTGTGGAATTGTCAAGTGACCTTGTAATTTCTGTTCCAATGCGAAAGGAAATCATTTAAATTTATCAATATTTATTCAGCAGCAATATTTTATGGTAAAGTTCAGAACATTGAAATTAACGATGTCATGTATAAAATGATTTGTTTAAAATTTGCAGCAAAAAGCATAAAAACCTAGTGATGTGACCTTGTTAGAATAAAAATGTATCGATAATATACTTTTATTTTTTCTTAACATTTTAATAATAATTTATACTATCTCTCTATGTTCTTAACAAAAAAAAGGAATATTTTTTTGTCTTTTACAAAATATACTGAACATTGCCCAATAGTTATTACCTATCTTACAAACGTTTTATTTGTCTACTGTCTTCCATCAAAGAATAAACCTCGTAAATCCAAAACTAGCCTACTTCTTATAATAATGTCATTAGTTCATTACACACACATTACTCCAGTAACCTAGATTTGATTAATATATATTAATGAAACCGCCACAACCACAACACGCGGTGCCGAAAACTTTCGCTTATTTAAATTATTTTGTTACTTAAACGGTTATTTAATGTTACCGTTCCACTGTATACCGGTAATTTGTTACGTTTTTTTTAAGTAAAACAATATTCGTTTGTAGTAAAATATTGGGGACTATGAAAACTCTGAGTTACGATAAATACTCGGTCTTTCAAATTAACTTTGATATAAATTACAAGTTTATATGATAAAGATCATAAATACTTACAACAAAAATAAATAGATATCCACTTTTTGGAGTATTCAAACATAAAATACGATTTATATATATACTTACCAACATATGTATTTAAAAAGCTCTCCACATACCAAAAATATATCTTCACCAATAAATAACCTACTAGATACTAGGAATATGTCAGGCAAACGGTATAAAAATTGCGATTTATTATCAGCTTAATAAATCAAGCGATTTGATTGATGTTAGTCACTCAATCATGACCTAAGTTCCCAGCACATAATTATATAATTGCTAGTAAGGAGTTTCCAATAATAGAAGTAGTAGAAACTTGATGGGAAATATACCAACTGATGGTCCACATACGAAGGTACTTGGGTATCGTCATATGCTTAGCTTCCCATAGAAGCCAATTGAGGGCAATTGACTTTATTTTCCTTTATAACTTTTCTATTATAAATGTGAATTTGATTTATTTAGACTACTTGTTTGTTACGCCTTAACAGCTAAATCGATTTTGATAAAATCGTATAAGTTAAGTTGCTATTGAAAACGGTAATAAGAACATTTTATAGTAAGTAGATTTTGTTGATAAGGACGAGTTCTTGTAGCTGATCCTCAAGAAGTCAACTCGATCGAAACCACTCTCATGGTCCGACATTAATGAAGAAAGTAATTAAATCTAGGGTTTTGATAACGTCAATTGATTTTATACTTGAAGTTATTTATTTTATTAATAGTGTCAAGATTAAATTAATTAAAGTCTACTCAAAAGAAAAGAAATATCACCTTACAAATTTTAATAAAACACTTTAACAGCGTAATTGATCAAGAAATATGCTAGAATAAATTTCAAATTATGAACATTTTTAATTAAAAACTTATTTGAAAAGTATCAAACATTTTAAGGGTTGTGTTTTATTTAACTTTATCGATATCGACATAAATATTATAGTAACTTTAATTGCGATCCAGTGAAAGTAGTCCGAGCGTCTATTAGGTACTTGATCGATAATCTAGTTTCGATTCAAATCGATTACGACATTGAAATGCTAACATCGAGAGCCTCCAGAGTGGGGACTTCTCTCGAATGTTTACATAGACAAAATTAAATCGTTCCGAGAATTTGATTTTATTTTGTTTTTTACGTAATTATTTTTTGCGATTATGTTTGCAAAATGTGTTTTAATAAGTCATTGTTATTCTTTACTTAGGTAACCTCAAAGTTAATGGACAATGTTATATAAATTATTGAATAAATTCTTCGAACAATAATAACTGCGCATATAAGTAATATCCAGTATACTTATCGATTTGATCGCGTCAGTAATCGATTTTCAATGGTGTTGCCATTGCTAATAGTCAGAGTACTTATTAAAGTACCTTTTGTGCTTTATAATAGTATTGAATATTGAAGTTATGATAATGGTGCATATAAGTTTTGATTTTAATTATGTAACACAGTCCAATCAAAATTTGAAAATTAAAAAAGAAATTGCCGGCGTCCAATGTGGAGCAAAGATTTAAAAAAAGTATATACTCCTTTGTGTACTTCGGTATAAAGAAAAACAAAAGAAACCAATTTTATATCTAAGTGCAAAACGAAAAAAAATGTTTATAAGTAAATGTAAGAAATGCAGTAGCATTATTTAAATGCAATGTAGAGCCGAAGCCTACAAAAGTGCAAGTTGTACGTGGGTTGCAGTGGGCGAGACAAGTCTAAAGACTGCCTAGTAAATCGCAATAAACGTTGCATTAAAACATCAAAGTTTCAATCAGGACTCGATAAAATGTTTTATTAACAAGATGGGTGTTGCTATATTTTTATTTTATTACTACAGCCTAAGTGATTTGCAAGACTTCTATGTTCAAGTTCGTTTATTTGCTGTTAACTCGCAAACGGATGCACCAATTTTAGTGAGCTTCGCTTGAAAGATAGATGAAACAAATATAGAAGCAAAAGTTGGATTTAAATTTAGAATATATTCTAATTGAGCGATATTGATGAGAGACGCATTAAAATAAAATTTATTGACATTCAGACGATACACGTACGGACTCACCTTGTGCGATGTAAATCAGACAATTATTTAAATAACTATCGTACTCATGTAAGTAGGTTACAATGCTTATGTAACAAAATATGTCTAGATTTTATCTTTTTTTACAGCTATCAACATCTGTGTATCGAAAAAACAACTAGCCCACAGCAATACTGGCACTTACGAACCGGTTTCCACAATACCGTTATCTGGAAGTAATTTCTTAAACGCATACCCAACGGTCACGCCAATCGTATAGAACGATATGCACTCGTCAACCGTCATTACCTTGGAAGGGATCGAACCTGTATCTACTTATATAATTACAGATGCCAGCATATCAAGATACACTAAAGATTGGCTTTCATCTATTGGTTCGAATAGAGAAATTGTTTCTGGGTTTTTCGATAAATCTAATATGTTATTAGTTTATTGATAATAAATGGAAGAATAAGTAATATTTTTTATTTTAACTTGGTTTTATTTAATATAATATGGTAGCTTTACGATTGTCTTTGATGTAAAATAATTTAAAACACAAAATACAGTTTGATACACGCATCGAATGCGTTAGAATTTGAATTTTATTTTTAGAACGCGTTTTATCGTGTCGATGAATTTAATTTACACTTTTTTCGACAAAGGTCATCGTTTAAAATATGTCCTGTCAACAACAAAAATTATAATGACTGAATTTTCTTCTGTTTTCTAATTTCTGACGAATATCTTTATAAAGAAACTTAACTCAATCATTAATTCTCTAATTATACTTATTTGTATGTATCCTAAAAAAATGACACTAAAATCTGGGGTAAAAACTCACCATTCCTAAAGAAGAACATTCCCCAGTAACACTACTCATTCCAGATTCCAATCACAACACCCCAAAGGTCCCATACAATATAAATATATAATTCCCTATTTTCTATTAATTTTAAGCAACTATAAATTAACATTTAATATATTGTTTTCGGTGGTGTCTCCGGCAACCTCAGGTGGCCACTTGGTACCGGGTACGTTTTTAAAAATGCAACCTCCTTTGCCTGAGCAACCCCCCATAACCATGCATGAATCATGAAAGTGGTTCAGTCGCCGTTAGGGAGGCATATATGTGTCAAATTGCATGGAAAACTGTGTACCCTATTGCATGAAATACCTTCGTATGCTTGTATTTTCACGTGACCCCTAAATAGTGACCCTAATTTCAAGTAAATAGAACTTATTTTATTACTAATCTCTGAAAAATGTTTGACTTACCTAAGTACGACTGGTATTCCAAAGAAACAATATTTTGCCATAAAAATTTTACGATACTATATGTGCACAAAAACCACTTAAAAAGAATCCAAGTTTTTTAAGTTATCTCAAATTGATACAAAGTACATTCACCGATAAAATAGCTTGACAAAAACGCAACTTAATAATAAGCAAGTTCATAATATAAAAATCGCGTGCATGAATTCAATATGGCCGCCAAGTAAGTAGTTAATTAAAATTAGGTACTTAAGCTTTTTAAATAGTTTTACTAAGTCACGTGAAAATATGGCTTTGTACGATGGGATCCTTGAAACCAACATGTAATCAGTTGGCCATAACCCATA